GGAAATCCGTCCCGCTTCGCAGGTGGGATATATTCGAGGTTGGGATATTAAAGGGTGGGGATTTAAAAGAGGTATGACTGTAAGTATTTATGAATGAAGCTTAGTTCATATCAACTATCTGCTTACCCCACGACTGGACTCCAAGAACAAATATTTTATGCAAATCTTCATCCGAGGCGTTTGCATTAGAGTTGAAAAATGCATGGAGGATATCCCTCATTGTTATAGATAAGTCGAGAAAATCCGAAAAAATTTTTTTATGATGTGGTTCTGGCAGACCACCACTTCGGAGGCCTGTTATCGCTTCTAATTTATTTATACTATGGTTTAGCGTTCCTCGAAAGTCACATTTTTGCCCCACCCGGGCACGGAGCGTAATTGACGACCTTCGTTACGTCGTTGAGCCGAAGCCCAGGAACAGATCTCTCCCCTAAAGAAATACGTGTATATAAAAGAGATTGATGAACAAAATAATCATGCCTGTAATAATTTCTTCAATTTACGAGTCCATCTTCAATTCGGTCTTGTCGAGAAATCTTTTTGTGAGCATGTTTGTAAATGAATTATCAAAAGCAGACTCCGAAATTGGCAGATCAACATCGGCCAGGTTCTCCGCACTAGGCACTTTTTATTTTTTTCTCTTCTGACGGTTGAAAAGTGGCCAAAGAGTAAATCAAACTGTAATAAAAAAAAGTCCATACTGTATTTCACTTACTATGTCAAGACCGCTCTCTTGATTTCAATCAAATAGGCTTTATCTTGTTCACCGAGTGTAATCTCGTGCTTTGCTTCTATTTTCTGCGAAGAAATCTCGTCAATTTCCGCTACAATATCCTCACTCTTCTCATTATTCTTTATTATCTGAAACAATAAATAATATGAGCAAAATCCGAATGTAATAGAACATCGATCGTCATTAGTTACCTGCTCAATTTCATTGAAAAACAAATATACGACGTCAGGTATATTTTCTTCAACAGTTTCTATTTCGTCCTCGAAACTTTTCAACATCTCAGTCCAATCTTCTGTAGAGAAGAGTTGTTTTGTTTCTGGGTGAGTTCCGGTGAGATCGAGGATTCCCCAGTAAACAGGACTATTGAATAGAAAAAATCCATGAAATGAGTGTTAAAAGATGCAATCACTAGTGAAAAAAACTCACTTCACGCATTTTTGCGATTCAGGTATTCGACATCTATAAGAGACCAATACCTGTCCCACATCGGTCCCACTTGATAAAGTCCAGCGTTTTGTTCGACCTATAGTGTCTGGTTCACGTCTTTCGACAAATTCATCTTTATTGACATCATCTTCAACGTCCTCATCTTTATCGTCCTTATCTTTCTCGACATCATCTTCAACGTCCTCAACTTTATCGGCTTCACCTTTATCGTCTTTATCTTCATGATTTTCCACTTCTTCCCCTTCATCGTCTATATCAGGTATTGTCGTCGTTTGCGTTGTTGCCAGTGTGCCCTGTAACAAAGATTTCCAAAATCTCATTATTAAGGTATGATGAATGCCAAATCCAAAATTAAATTTATGACTAACCTGATTTTTTACGCGTGTGTTAAACCTATTTTGCACAGCTATATTGGTGTTTTGGATCGAACGGTTTACTAGAATCTGGGAGCACAAACATGAATATTAACTTGCATATTAAAGCACATGGAATCTAATCATACATACCGCTTTCCTCTCTTCTAACCACAGCTCCCAGTCTTTTTGAATTTCAACCTATTTAGCGGAATTAATATATTTACTTAAGAAAAAAAAAATTGCATTACGCTACATACGCTTCTTATTTTCTGTAGCCTTTTTTTGACAGCTTCATCTCTACATTTCTCAATTGCTGAAGATAGAACTTTAAAATAAGTATCAAAAGCCCGAGAACGATTCATAGAAAAGGCAAATCTAAAAAAACAAAGAGGGCTCGGATTGGGAGCTTGGAGCATCCACGTTGTATTCTGTTCTTTCATATTTACTCTTTTTGATGTTCTTGTTTCCATTATGTGAACTGAATTCTTGTACATGTAATGTCATCAAAGACGCGACAAAAGTATGCGCTTGAAGATTACACAAAATCACGTGAATTATAATTATCTTGTGCTGTACATTGATACTGTGCGTTCTCATCAGTACCTCCCCTGCCATATTTAGTAGTAGTTAGTTTGCCAAATCTGGTAATAGATTGGGGAAGGTATAGGGGAGGTAATTTACCTCCCCGAATGTTAAGCTATCTCCCCTACCAAGTTTAGTAACGAAATGTTACCAAATCTGGTCCTGATTAGAGCACCCTACATCACAATAGGCTTGCGTCTTATGCCTGACCCATTTTGAGCTAGTCAATAACGATACTTCCCAAATGCAGTAGGGGAAGTAGCTACCAAATTTAGTAACTCGAAACGTTACCATATCTGGTAGGGGAGGTAACTGATGAGAACAACCACTACTATTCCAAATAGGTATTTTTGTCCGTAACGGTAAACACTGTCCATATGGGGAAATGCAAAAATTTCATGTGAACACAACTATCGCAAAGTTTTTCGTTGGTCAGAATATCGTTACGTCACAAAAACAGACGCATGACCTGCCATTTTTTTTTGTGGTGCTACTGGGGTAGTTAGTATCGTGTTGTTGTGAATAAAAGTTCCTCGCGATAGGTAGTTAGTATCGAGTATCGAGTATCGAGTATCGACACATTTGTCTAATCAAGTTGAGTAAAGATTTATTATTTTCTATATATTCTGTACCAACAATTTTGTTATACATAAAAGAAGCGTCCGCGGCAGACTCTTGTTCTGTCGGAAGCCAGTAATGGCGAGTCATAGAAGTAGATGGCCGGCTAGATTTTATTGAAAACAAAATTGTTATGGGGCTTATTGCATTCAAAGCGTCCGCGGCAGACTCTTGTTCTGTCGGAAGCCAGCAATGGCGAGTCATAGAAGTAGATGGCCGGCTTATTGAGTGAGGATTAGCCCACTCAGTAGTTGCCTAACTAGCTATTTCATTCAACAACATACTAACGTTAATATCTCTTGTTCTGAGAAAACTTTATGTAGTTCGCAAGAAACATGATGAGCCTAGTTTACCGCAAGATACCTTCACATGATGGAAGAACAAAGTACTCAAAGAGGTTATAACAAGAATCTTGGATACACCTATCAGAGATAATTTGTCTCAATGAAATGCTTGTTCTGACGTCAAGGCATCGAATTTTTGCTTGTGGGAGATAAAAGTCTCATTGAAGCAGCGTTAGCTTCTTTAAAGCTATGACTAGGAGTATTTATTGTGTGTCTGGGTGCGCGAGCGACATTATCGTATAAATGTTAATTCATGACATAATAGCTGCTTCAATGTATTAACTCTATGCATCAACTTTTTACGTTTATTATATTTAAGTCATCAACCTTCTTTATTATTGCCCCAAATGCTATGTTCGCTGCGGGACGGTCTTTTTATGTGACGAGCCACACGGTATGATGGATCACGGTGAAATATTCTATCCTCGAGTGCAAGGTATTGTTTCCATGACAATGGATAAAATAAGGAGAATTAGTTGGCAAATCAAATGCGGGATGTTCAAGTAGCCCGAAGAAGAAACCATCCATCATATTCCCTAGCTAAAAGAAGAAAAGAGTTGGAGCATCTGGCTGTGAGCCTGTAAGGCATCCTTTCAGGGTGTGAAAGAGGATGGGCCGAGAATTTTGTTAGTAAACCCAACGATAGCACGTGAAAGAATAAGAAGATCGAGCGAGACAGAAGGCTGAAAAGTATGCCAATGCAGATTCAATAATTGGAAAGAAGAGCCAGACGTGGCGTATTATCGCAGGTATGTTTAGCAGTTTGCGTGGGGTAGTTGGCGTACATCGTTTGTTACATTAGTAGCTGTAATCATACTAATGTAATGGTATCCTTCATTTAACATGCTCTCAACAATTTTCCCATCGTAAAACTAGCAGGACAACTCAATTGGGACTCTTCTCAGCAACACCTGTTATTGTAAGGCAAGGTTTTATTCGCACGTACCGTCTCTTAAATAAATGTCATCTATATTCCATGTATAGATAGATGCATATCCTACACGCTTACATCCTTCCCTAACTAGATATTGATTTGTGCACTTTGCACATATGGTTGGAAATACCTTACCTCTTTTTCAAAAAGAAAATAAGTGGTCCATGACTTACTCCCGCCATCACAAACCTATTTTTCGGGTTGAACGTATTTCATGCTGCAATGCGCTTGCTGGCGTACCTAGAGAATGCGTGGTCACGAACACGTCAGATGTACGAAGAGTTTCCCGCAAAGCGGGATCAACGTTGTTGTATTCTTGGGGTGTTATTCTTAGATTACTGCCTTCTGCATCATATCACAAAATAGGTATGGTCGGTTCACCAATTACTATCCTCGCGAACTTTGTTTGGCACACTGATAATTGCTTTTTTTTGACATCCAATGACGAACGTGTTGTTTCCAGCTACGTCCGCTGGGTTGTCTGTCGGGTGGGAATAAACAGAGTTTAATGCTGTATGAACGAATCTGGGTGTCCACGTGAATTAAACTGAGGTACTTTACCGAACTTTGTTGGATAGTTTGTTTTAGAGACGCTAATGGATGAATCTAATGATTTGCGTTTTTCTCTGTTTCTTGATGGATATTGATTGTTCTTTTTTCTCTATCAACTGACTGTTAGCGTTCTATCGAGTCCCGTTGTTTTATTCTCGCTGACGAGGCTGTTTATCGTTTTTTTTCTTCTATCATCTCTGATGACTCTATTAACTCTCTATCGAGTCCGTTGTCTATCCTGTTTCACAGCGTCTTCGAAAAGAAATGTAGCCATGACGAACGCGTCTGGGGTGTATGACGTCGAGCGTTGTGAGATTTCTGCTTCTCGTAATAGTCATGTACGTGTCCGAAAATCTTGAGAAGCCAAATTCGAATTGTATTTAATATTTTACGTCAATTCCTTGCACACACATCGACTACAATTATCATTAACAAGTATGTGAGTTACATGAGCATTGGATTCCTGGTTGCTGAGCTGTTACTGAGCGACGACGAAAATTGATTTCGCGTTTTCAAAAAATCAAACAGATTTAAGCAAACCCAAAATTGTACTTAATGTTCTGTGTCAATTCTCTGCGCACACATTGACAACGGTTATGCTTAACATGCATGTAAATTTCATGAGCATGCGATTCTTGGTTGCTGAGTTAGGGTTTCTAGTGATTGAGATTGATTTCGCGTTTTCGAAAAATCGAGCAGATCGTTATAGTAAAATTCAAAATAATACTTAATAATCCATGTCAATTTTTTTGCACACACATGGACAACAGTTACGTTTAACATGCATGTAAGCTTTATAAGCATAGGATTCTTGGCTGCTGATCTAGGGTTTCTAGCGATGAAGATTGATGAAGATTGATTTCGCGTTTTCGAGACCATTATAGTTAATAGCATACAATATACAGTGTGTAACAAAAAAAATTGGCCTCCATTTTTTTGCAATAGCTCAACAAATATTCGTTGAAATCAAACGCACAATAGCTTGTTTTAAAGCCTGAAAGCTAAGAATTTTATTAATATATATATTATAACACATTAATAATTAATTC